AAGGTAGATTACATTATTTCCATCCTTAAGGTGCTGAACGTTTGACAGATTTTGAAAATAATGAAGGCGTCACTACCTCGTGAAGCAATCACCACTTCGTATTTACAAGCATTTTGGCACGGGTCATCTACAGACGAGTTACTGTTACAAATCAGCTGGTATATACGACTATTGGACCCCTTTAAGCGTAGGGAACAACTGCAGATGGGGGGAGGGGGGAGGGGTAAACATACAGTGCGTTCCAGTGGTATACGTCCACCCATCATTTTAACAAAAACTTTTCTGAAAGAACTGGCCCAATTTAGCAGCACATATTATCAGATTCGTTACTCAAGAAAACTATGAACAACATCTTTTCAGGCAGGCAAGCCAACAAGAAAATTTTTTAGAATCATTTTTCTGAATTTCGACCGTTTCATAATATACGTCCACCCCTGTTATATTAATCGAGAAAAATTTTCCTGTTTCAACCGGCGTACATGTCCGTACCAAAATCAAAGGCGACATGTCTTCTTGCTATGCCACGCGGTCCCCGTCTCTCTGCAGAAGAAAAGACTCAGATTCGAGCTCTCCACGAGGCCGGACTCAGCAATCGGCGCATTGCCATTCAAATCGGCAGGACTCATTGCGTGGTCTGCTCCTATCTCAGAGATCCTGAAGCCTACGACAAAGGAGGTGCCCGAGGACGTCAACGCAAGTTGTCCAGCAGAGATGAACGAGAGATATGGAGGAGAGCTTCGAACAGTACCATCACCGTCAACCAGATCCGTGCAGACTTGAAACTCTCTGCGTCGAAAACAACCGTGTCGAGAGCTATCAAACACAGTGGCAACATTGTAAGAGAAGTTATGAGAAAGGCGCCACGCCTAACCAACTGGCACAAGATGGCTCGCCTCGGCTTTGCTCAAAAGAATGCGACCACGGATTGGAAACAGGTGCAGTCGTGAAGCTAGGTATAGCTCGTGCACTGTAATTTAATTTAAAGTCTTTAGGTGATCTTCTCCTACGAGAAGAAGTTCAACCTCGACGGGCCCGATGGAGCAAGATGTTATTGGCGTGATCTGAGGAACGGGCCCGATGGAGCAAGATGTTATTGGCGTGATCTGAGGAAGGACCCAGTACAGTTCAGCAGGCGCAACTTCGGTAGCGGTTCGCTGATGGTTTGGGGAGCGTACTGCTGGGATAGCAAGCTGGAGCTCGGATTTGTATCCTGTCGAATGGATTCGCAAGAGTCCCAGCAGGTTTTGGAATCCAAGTTATTGCCGTTTTTGAGCCGCAGGCGACGGCAAAGGCTGGTCTTCCAGCAGGACAATGCAAGTGTCCATGGTAGCAGGTCAACATCTGCATGGTTTCAGCAACAGAAAGTTGATGTTATGGAGTGGCTTGCGTGCAGTCCTGGTCTTGACCCAATGGGGAACCTTTGGGGAATAATTGTGCGACGTGTGTACGCGAACAGTAGGCAGTTTTCCACCAATTGCGATCATGGAGGCGTGGAGAGACATCGACCGCTCAGTCTTCAGGAACTTAACAATGAGCATGCCGCATCGACTCATGGAGCTCTCACTCAAACAGGGTGCACCAATTCATGAAGAACACGGTTGTGTTTGTATAAATAAACTGTTATTTAAAGTGGACGTATACTATGAAACGGTCGAAATTTGAAAAAATACTTATAAAATATTCCTTTGTAAACTTGAAGATCTGAAAACCTATTTTCCATTTTATTCTAATGCAGCGAATTCCTTAATGCATGCTACTAATCTGCATCACCCCTTTGAGAAAAATTTTTGTTGAGATGAGGGGTGGACGTATACTACTGAAACGCGCTGTAGATAACAACCAAAAATAATGAATACTAATACTATAAAAATAACAGTAATAGAAATAATAGTAATAGTTTTTCTTGATGTTCTCCCAGAAGTTCTTACATGTTTCTCTGCCCTTTGCCCTCCTTGCTCATTTTTCCTTCTCGTTTCGCACGTTGCAACAAATCGATGCCATTGAACATCTGAAAACGTAAAAGTGCACAAATCTCATTCGATTCCTCTTTTTCAGTCATAGATCCCCGGTATGAGTAGGCTAGTCTTTCATGTTCACCTACAGAACTCATTAACTACAGTAGGCTATCATCAGATTGAAGTATGTGACCAGAATAGAGCTGTACCATTCGTGTGACAGCTCCTCGAAATGGTTCTGTCAACGTGTCTCCTCCTTTCCGTAAGCCAACACCGCTCGATATTTCATCAATTTTCAAGACGATAAGCGTAGGGAGGTAATCTGGAAGAAAATGCAAAAATCAAGGTGAAATTTGTTCGACGGTTTGGAAAAGCGGAGCCTCTGAAAAGCACCAGTGAAGGCTTCAAAATATTGAGAACTCACTATTCTGTTGCCATTTGCCATCAAAATACAGCAGAACCTTCTCTCCTCTGCGCTTATAACGCATAAAATGCCACCGATTGTCCGAAATTCCTGATCCCCAGTTGAATACCTGAAATGGGAGATCTGAGTGTGAACGTGGTATCAGCCAAACATAAGAGTGATGAATAATAGGCGATTCTTCTGGCTTGTTGACTCACATGTTCGCCAGATTCGTGCCTCAGAAGAACACCTAATGAACTGCCATTCAGATAAACAAGGAGTTGATTCTTTGGATCGGAATTCGATTTCGTGCTCAACAGAACTCCACGCGAATAGTCAGTCTGAAGTGTTCGATTAGCGAATTGGAAAATTATAGAACAGCTAGTTGGATTAATGAGGTAATTTGACTAATTCTCATGGATTAAGCCACACAATCCGTCTCTACTTCACAACGTTAACGAATGGTTGGAAGGTTTGGTTGATAAGCGTTAATTTGAATGCCCAAGAAACAGCCTGGCACCTCGCATCCACTGATGCGCTTCTATTAATCAACCCAATGTTTCATAAGGTTGATAGTATATGAGTATGTAACTTCAAAAACTAATTGAAACGAGGAGCAAACCCATGGGCTAGTTTCTTCCTTCGAAAACGGTTTCAAAAACTCATCACCATTTGATAGAGGGTCAAAACTGTCGAATAGCGTTCTTCAGATATTGGGAAATTATCTCTGATTCCCGGAAAAAACTCCGCTGATCAGATGAACTTCCCAACCGAGAGGGATCGAAACTCTTTGAGAGGTCCGAAAGTTTGCTAACACAGTTGAAAAGAAAAATTTCCATGTTCGGGTCGTCTGATTACATTCCAAGATAAGGTTGTGCTGCCTAAGTTGTTGAAATCGCACCACTCTTTTCATGTTCTCGTAGGTCTCTCCATTATTGAATGAAGAAAAGATTAAAATAAAAAAAAATAGGGGAGATTTGCCTATAATGAAAACAGTTCGATTTAAGAGGTAGGGGAATGTCGCAGAAGTAAAATTGCTCTCCTACCCTGAACCTGATTTCAATCGTTTCAGCCTCTGACTCGAGGGTGTAAGGAAGGATATGTAGGAGACGTTCGCCCGTAAGTTCCACCACCGCTGGCTCTGAAACGCATAACGGATGATTTCGACCATCTAGCTTTATCTTGGGCTTACTTCTCCTTATAACAAAACTGCCCGTACCTACATTACATGTGGGACCCTCCTTGTCCGTAGCCGCACAATCACAAGTGAACGTATTCTGAGACTGCTCGCAAATGCCAAAATTATGGCATGGATTGTTGGCACACGGATTGACGGCCGGCATCGGAGGGCAACCGATTGATATACCTGTAGAAGTTGGTCCTAGACCCAAGAAGAGAATATTCTATGGCTTTTGAAAAACCTACCCGTCGCATTAGAATGTTCGAATACAGTAGCGATTCGAGCACTGATACCATTCACACGTAAATTCTTAATGCAGCCAATAAATCCTTTCCGTAACGACACCGACCATATGGTTGAAGGCAAGGATACGGTAGTGTTTGGAACCCAGCCAAGATAGATGGGATCATCTGAATTTTCGAATAAACTTGTCTCTCATTTGGGCTGGCTTCTATATGGCCTAGAAAAGACACTTTGGTTTCTCGTAGGCTATGAGCTCACCGACGATCAGATTCGACGAGACTCCGGGAGTATTGAAGTCGGTCTTCATGCTGTCGACGATCACGCTACGACGATCACGCTACCTGTTCGACCTACCCGTTCCACATGAAGCGAGTGCCAGGTGTCGCCTTCAGAGACATGGCGTGCGGTTGTCTGGAAGAACGTTCTTCGGGAGGTTTGAGGAAGTCAAAGTGTTTTCATAAAAACAAAACAATGAATTAGGGCAGTTTTCTATTTTATCATAACTTTGTGGTTCACTTCCAAATTCTACTCCAAATCAAAGTACTTGATCGTGAGTTAACGAAAAAAGCAGAAACTCAAAAAGTTTTGGCACACTGATGTGAAGTTACGCAATTCCCCCTACTTACAGCCCACACCCCATGTGTATGATACCGTCCCGTTGTCTCGGTCACTTGTATTTATCATACCTAAGTGATCAGGGTTCCTTTTTGTGTAAGATGTAGACCCACTGCCCGCATGGTTTTTAAACAGAGGATGGGGATTGGTGTCATTACAGCGGTCAGTAGTTTTGTTGTGATTTTGGTCGATAGTGGCTGATTATTTGAACAGTTTGACATATAAGTAATTAATGTGACAGAGCTATAAGCCCGTCCGTTCGAAAATTTCAGACCATATTTTAATCCTTATTCCTATTGACAACTTGAAGATTTTTGAACGAAAATCCCAGAATTCAATGTAAGCACGGTGAAAATCCAACAATAATAGCACCTGTAACCGAACAGCTCCACTGCCCAAATTTATAATCATATGAAGATGACCATCGATGAGTTCGAACGCAATGTAGTCGGTGATGTCTTTCCCGGTATTACCGTGATAGAGCAGGAGTCCATCCTTTTCAGTTGTTCGGAAATGGAATGCTTAAATGAGAAAAAAATCATTTCTATTTAGAGCAAAAGTATTGTGCACCAACACGAAAAAATAATAGAAGCCAACTCGATTTTTTTTCTTTGATGTTTTTCGAGGATAGAGGAAGTGGAAAGGGTTCTTCTCAAAAGGCTTGACAGAAGATCAATCGAACACAAATTTTTGGGGTTCATAATGTTTTACTTTGCAACAGCTTTCAATAGAACAGCACCTTCTCAAAAGTTCGGAAGATCCATGTACGCCATCAAACCTTTGACCATTTGTTATTGACGGTAGATTAAATTGATCATATCAATCATACTAGAAACTCATACATACTCGAAACCAGTTTTTTGGAAAGAAAGTAATCGAAGTTTAATTCATTCAATACTGAATCCAAAAAAAAACTTTTAGTCATCACTGTAACTGCTTACCATCCACTATACTTACTGGATACTTGGGCCAAATCCCAGAAAAAAAAACTTCATTTCCTGAGGGCTAACTATATTTCTTTCGCTGCGAACCGTCTTCAAGCGCATCTGCGCTTCAGTGCTCAGGGTTGGCTAAAGCGGTGCCTCCTCCTCTCAAATTTTCAACGTCGTGAATTCCTTGATTTATAATAAAAGAGAACCTGGTAAGATTAAAATGGATCAATCATAATGTCAAAGGTTCTCACACAGACTGCCGCTAGCCAAAGCACCCCATTTGGGCAGAGCAAGAAATGACGAGCCAGAATGGAATGAGAGCACGTCCGGTGGTTGCGTTGGACTTTTGCAAGAGAACGACAACTCGCCACCTGCAAAATGATTAAGAGTTGTGAAAAAAAGTGATTCGCATCGAGAATTTCTCTAGGATGCCCTACGAATTCTTGCTACACAGACAGTCATAGCTCAGAATGCTTTCTACTCAAAATGAAGCGAACGCACCCGTCTTGATGATGCTTCCGCCGAAACCCTGATCGGCCAACGTGACGAATAGAATTCGCTGCGCATCCGCGTCGTACTTCACCTAAACTTCTTCATTGATGGCAGCTTGCCATATGCCCATAATGATGTCCCAATTCAGTGCTGGAGCATGGACTCATCCACTCACTTGCTTCATACACCCACGAAAAGCGTTCTTCGTGACACCCGTGATATGTCGTTCGAGGGGAACAGAACCGAGGTAGGCGAAGGAATGGCCAATCCAATCGAGTTCTGGTGCGTACTGACGAATTTCATCCTTCCTTCCATCAACTGTCAATGTCAGCTGAAAAGGAACAATTATCTGGAGACTGTTTGAGTGTCACAGAGAGACCCCTGAGCAGCTTGAACAACTGAGTAAAAATCTTCGCTGCAAAAGGAAACGAAATAAGGGGAAATCGGTGGTAAGCTTCACTCTGAACTAAGAATCGAACATTCCAACAGAAAATTCTTTTTTCAAACGCTCATCGGTCCATCCCTCATTCAGTTCATTACCGAAAAAAAANAAAAAAAATAAGCAAAACAGTTCATTCCAACGAAATCGAACGGATAGCAAAGTGCAGAGGGGGCAGTGCTTCTCAGCTCAGAACACGCAAATAGGGAGGACAAAGCAAAATCGAGCAGCCCGACAGAAAAAAAATAATGGGAAACGGAAAGAGGAGAAGTTCATCACCAACAACTTACATGAACTGCGGAAATCCTATCAGAGTGCTGAAGCGGAAGCGAATTGAAAAATCGTTCTCAGAAACAACAATGAAGGCTGATATAGAATGAAATGTGATGAAAAACATGCACAACATTCATTGTTGAATGGCAGGAGCATCCCAGAAAATCTGTGGCAGGACGGGCAGGCTACGAGCCAACGCCTCGCCGGTTAGGCTCTCATGTAAAGAGAGCGACTTGGGTAGCTTTTTCATAAGAACTTTCCCTGTGGTGTGTGCTAAGGCTCAATCCGCTCACAGTGTGAAGTAATCTATAATCAGATGAATCGGCGAAAGCCATAATATCGATAGCCGTTTTTAGTTGCCACCGTGTACCGTTGAGCCCTCCTCACGAATTTGCCTGGATTTTTTTTTTGGGCGAGATTGTGAGACTGGGCCATGAGGTTTAGTTCCAGGAGCTGTTCAGGGTATGTGCCCTCGGGTCAGGTGTCGTTTGAATGTTAGAAATTTAACGTACAGCATTTCCATGCACAGAGTAAAAGATTGCTCCCGTAGGGACGGACTCCACAATCAGCAAACATTTATGGAAACTGGAAAACGCTTAATACGTCGCCCAAAAAAAATGTTGGGATCGCATTTGATGTGAATATGGTGGGGTGTAGTGTGTTCGATGTATTTTGACATTAGGCAAGGTTTTGATTCCAAGAAAGCAAAAAGTCACAGTACGCATCGTCTTAGCATACCGTTAAAAGTCACAAACAACTTTTTGGCATGGCTGGGACATGACATCAAATAAAAATAACTTTTTCAGTCCTACATATTTAAAAAAAAANAAAAAAAAACTTGACTGTGTAGAAAGAACACCTTCATTGAGAAATCCGCCCGAAAGAACCAAAAATGTAGTTACAACAATGCAATACTATTCTCTCATCTCACCGACTCCACCCACGTCATAAATCCTGCCCTTTCAGCAGGAGACGCAGGATGGCCAGAATATAATATGTTGACATCAGGTCATAACGAAGATTATCGCACAAATAAAGAAGTATAACTAATTTTTGTTCAGCTGCCAAAGAAATTGAGCAAACAAATCAAGCGGGGATCTAGGATGGCAAAGCCCAGTGCTATACTACTACTATACCTACAATGGATTTTCCTTTTTTGGAATGCAGTTGAAACATGAGTACTTCACCTGAGTAAAGCAATGACGCATCTTAGGTGCTGCCTATACAGGCTTGGACGTATTCCCCTTGCCCTGATTCTAATCTGAAAGGGCCGGAAATCCATTCTCAATGGCGATCAAAACCATCCTTCTGATGAACTCTCTACCAAATGGTTGTGGCCTAGGATTCCAACTTTTATCAGAAAAGCACGTATTCTGGCTTTTTTGTGCGATGAGTTGATAAGACCCGCTGAAACAATTAAAGAGCAAAAGCTCGAAGAAGAATTGACAACAGCAGAAGGCTGTAGAGAGAATGATGAGCACATACCATCTGAAGAGTCCTTTGCATGGAAACGGTATGCCAGGAATCGTCGTCGAACCTTGCACGAGGCAACTCATTGAAGATCCTCACAAGTCTCGGTGCTGTGCCAGCGAACTTTGAGCTGGCTATAAGAGCACCCTCCTCGAGATAGAGCTGCATGTAACTCTGAAAAGCCACCCGTATCTTATCCTAGGCATTCATAGCTATGTATATGTAAGATACATTTGAATGAAGACGCCTATACAGAAACCTTCGGGCTCCTTGTTATTTGTTTTTCAACCATCACATCAGACTGCTGAGAGGTACCTTCGATTCATCAAGTTCGAAGGCGTCTAATCTTCCGTCTAGGTCGGTTTGGGAGGGTAAAGCAGCCATTAGAACTAATCCACGGTATCTGATGACTCGTTAGACCGAATTTCACCATGAGCGACGGCAGAGTTTTCGATTCTTATGGTTAGTCACCTGATCCCAGAAGTAACTAGATGGGTGGAGTAATTCAGGCTGGAGTAATTCATCGAATTCTGTATAAGTGATAGCCCAAAAGTTTCACAGAGATTATGAATTATGAGCAATTTCATAGCCTCGAAAGGTAGTCCAGTCAGTATTTGTGCTTTCTGGAAAATAGCCCTTTATCCATAGCAGACATAAAGGTTAAGTGGACATCTCATAATCAGTCACGTGGCTCGTTCTAAACAATCCAAATGACACCAAGTTTATGCTTTCGGGATTCTTCTGCCACAGTTCCTGCTAAGAACGCTGTGAAATAGCCATCACTCATGATTATTAGCTCGATTGTTAATCGTAATGATGAAGTTGGTATCAATTTCATGAAACCGAATCCCAATTCCAATGTTGCCCCGGACAATGAAAAAGATCTCCTTTGCTAGTCGTTGAAGCGAAGTCACCTTAGCTTGTTCCGCATCAGCGCGAAAATTTTTGCGTGTTGTTCTTTTTCCAATAAAAATTGCCACGAATTAAAAAATTCAAATGTATTATCTTTTTACAACTATTAGGTATTGAAGGCAATACTGAAAAGAATTTTGTGCAAGGAATGAATTACTTGTGACATGAATCTTCAGCAAACTGTGGCTGCTCCCATGTTACTTGAGAGATTGGCAGAGCAATTCTGCCCTTCGTATTTGTAGCGATCACTTCACACTTTGTCAAGTTTCCGGAATCTCCATTCAAAACTAGATTNNGTAAAAGGACTTTTTGGGCTTGAAAAGTGTTCCAGTCCCCCAGGCCACGACAATGAAAGCTCCAGATAATTTGTGGTAATGATCGGGTATTACTTGGTACTCGTACTTTCAATTACTTTTTTTAGGACCACTGATCTCTTAGCTCTTTTTGGTGTCTAATATCGGCTGTATGAATGAGTACCAAAATGGATTTATAGTAATCTCCTTATCCGAACTAACCCTTTCATCGCCAGCAAAGAATATCATCGCTGATCCATGCACAGTTTTGAAAGACAGGGAGAAATTCTCGGCTTTCGTCTTCAACGGACCAGCAGCCGTCTCTGAAACATCGTAGCCAACCCATTCCTGACCAGAAAACGTCAGCTCCGAGTCGAGTTTCTCTGAAAATAACTGTCCACATCTCTCGTAGTTCAAATTCGTCTTGAAAAATGAGTTCGAAATTTCGGAATCAAATCTGGCAGATTGGCAGATCCAGTACAGACCTGTTTCACAGTGCTTCCCATCGTACTCGCTCAGCGTACAGTCACATTTCGGGCCGTCGTTGGTACTGTAGCAACGTCCTCCATTCCGGCAGACGAACTGTTCACGAGATGAAAACTGAACACAAAACATCTAAATTATTCGGGAAAATCAGATCTTTTTATAACAAAGAAGAATCAAATTCCATGGCATAATTTCGACCAGTCTTGTTTAGCTTCATAGAGAAGCCTGTAAGTGAAGCAAAAAGTAAAATGGTGCCTCTCAAATGGTAAACACTGCGTTCAAATAAGCTCAGCATGCGACTTCAATACGCGATTTCAATCGATACCTATTTCTTATGGATAGAAACTCGAGCACTGCAGAAAGGCTCAGATCAGAACGTAATTAGGACTTATCGATTTAATATAATATCGATATACTTCTATAACATGAGAAGGAAGATCCAAAATACGAAAATCGCTCGTACCCCCGTCGGTCTGCAGTAATCATCCTCGTTCTGTCGAGCTCCGTGAACATCCAAAAGTTGAGGTGACGTTACACCTAAAAAATTGGAGAACCCATTTGAATTACTGCAGCATGGTCTACGGTAGTCAAAGCCTTTTCAAATCGCCCACAGACCTTGAGGATATAGCCGGTAGACAAGGTTGCGAATGTTCCCAGCTAAATGTCTTGCATAACGGCGAAGGGGTGAGCTCATCACTGGCAGGAGATGGGTGTCCTGAAAGACAGACAGTACTTCAAAAGAAATTGCACTATCATATCGAGATTTGGAAGATAAACAGAAAAAGGTACTTTCATCGGTGTCTGCCATGATTTCCGCAAGGGCACACTTGAAAGTCGTAGAAAATTCGTTCTCAATTACATTAGTTATCTACAACTTACGAGAGCATCTCTAGGCTAACCATCGCACGGACACCAGTGAATAGCGGGTACTTTTGCTCTCCCAATGAAATTATTGTCACTATCTGATTGTGAATCTGAGCACTACGTTTATGATGATCGAAGAAGATTTCCCTACTCCATGAAGACTAGAACTCAGCTTTTCATTTTGAAACTAGATTGAGCCATTTTCCAAACCACTTCAGCATTTCCTCTGTCAGGAAAAAGATAGCGAGGAAGGAATATTTGGTAGAAAGACTCTTAAGAATCAATTTTTTTCACTGATTCTTTTGCTCAACTTAAGAACTTTCCATAAACTTTGTAAATACGAAAATAAACGACATATGAGAGGTTCGATCAAATAACAATCATGTCAACTGAGAAAATCGGGAGTAAAGAGGTACTTAAACTACGCTGCTGCCAGGCCATGCCGATATTAATCGAAGAGCATTTATGGTCATATACTTAAATGTTCACGTATTCAATCATTCATTTCTATTTAACTGAAAATACATGGGCATCAGGCCTACAAAATATGTAATCCCGTCCCTATTCACGTAAATTTTTCCATAAAGAGTCATTCAACTTTAGGTTGATCTCATAGATGAAATTTCATCGAATCGTTGGTTCCTATTTCAGTACCCTACTTGTCCCTTTAATTGCTCTGCCCATCCGTTAGCAATGGAGAAAGACCGAATTTCTTCAACTTGTTCTTTTTCTCGTCTTGTTCTTTTTTTGCCTTTCTGTTATTTTCTTTGATTTCCGATAATAAATCATAATCATAATCATAATCATAACTTACACTTTGCTGATCCACTCAATTTTCCCGAAACCTTCTCGACGTGGGTGACTTTTGTTGTATAAACTAGCACTTAGCTGAGCTTATCCCCTTGGATGCATGGCCATGGCCAAGTCGTTTGCCAAAAGTCTATTTGCTTGTCCTCACACTGCGCCACCAACGCGCTAGCACTGATATCGTTGGCTTTTTTTCTCCGGACGGAATCTCTAATAGGGTTAGAAAGCGCGAGAGAAAACTAATGGCCAAAGGGAAAGCGAGGGATCCGCCGGTCCCTGGGGTGACAGCAAGAAAGTGCTCCGAATTGCGCGATTTATTGCATTTAGACGAGATAATCTGATCTCAATTCCACCGAACACCATGACATTACACATCACCCAGGAAATGTCGTAGGAAACATCACGTTTACTAACTCGATTTGGAAGGAACGTCTTTTCTAATTCAATAGGAATTCTTCTGCTGAATTCCAAAACACAAACAGACCTGGTAAAGTAGAAAAACGACATTTTTTTACAATCTGAAAATCGAATTTTCAAGTTCTGAAATTTGTCCCAACCAATAATTCTGAAAAGCACCATCGCATGTTCAAGAGCTCCAATTCTGCTTAAAGCCATGATCTATTGGGACAGACGCTTATAGTAGTTAAACCATCCCGGCAACGTATAGCCAGCTTACCCGAACGGAGGGGCAATTCGACTATGTGGAAATGATAAGCGGTGTCAGCGATGCGTTGCGCCATGTATTCGAAGGTGTTCAAAATTACTTGGGCATCGATGGCACCTTCTCAGAAAACCTGAAGCAGATCTTTCAACTCCCGAAATCGCTACTAGCTTACTTGAGCGAAATTTTACGGCCGAGCTAAGTTCTCTCCAGTACCAGGAAATGAACTAATGAGACTAGAACAACTGAAGACTTTGTCAAATAATATGGCTAAATTCAGTTTTGAAATGAAGCAGCAACTTGAGAATAACCCTAGAAAAATTTGGAAAAGTTTCATTTTCCTGAAGAAAGCATAATTTCATAATTTCTTTTTATACAAATCCGAATTACCTGAGGAACTCCTCCTACGAACACATCGGAATTTTTCAGGATGTTGCCGAAGATGAAGCTCCGTTGATTGAGTATTTTAAACACCAACGACGCATCCAGCTCCATTTTAACATTTTCCCAAGACTAAAAACCACTTAATATAACAACAGCTCTAATAGCAGGTGGTAATGAATATCACCTGGAAAAGTGCCAAAGAATGCCATCGATCGTCATCAACACGAACTTCTTCGATACGAATGGTATTGACCACTCGTCGTGAACCGAAATCATTCGCATTGTCTCCCAATCTGGATGAATTCTATTAGGTTTATCGATAAACTAGACAAAATTTATGGCATTACATGACTAGCAACGAGAGATGAGAAAAAGTTGGGGAACATCGGACTATTAGATCCTGTGGATAAAATTCGCATCCCTCAGAGAAAGAGGGATTTTGAACGAATTCAGATAGAGGAATGGTTTATGAAAGACTGTTACAAGAACAAAGGCCACTCTAGTTGAAAGGATCCCAGCATTACAGATGAATGGCCTGAAGGACAAATGATCAGCCTAAAGGGTAAGGGTGCGATCCCGCGCCCATACCGCCTGAATTAGATCAGAAAGACCTATGGCTACGAAGGTGGCTATTCCTAAAATCCCGTACAGCTACAACTGAGCATTACGTACCCAAGACAGAGCTAAGCTAAAGCAAATTTCATTGTCATTTGTCTATTTTCCTCCAAAGGAAGCATTAAATGACATTGATCAGAGCTAAATGTGGAAATCAGTAATAGCTCGTCCGTGCCGCCTGTCCCGACTGTATCAGATCAGGTAGATCTAATCTAGTGCCTAGAGGAAGCTTTTTCTGAAAACTCTTCGAAACCTCGTGCTTCGACGAAAAATTCTCGGTCCCAAATTCCATCCTCGACGAGAATTCCAGACTCTTTTACGAAAAACTCTGTCTCAAATGAGTTCTGAAGGCTCATAACCTCAATGCGTACGAATCTGTAGAAGCCAGTAACCTGGAGACGAAGCTCATAAATTTTATGGATATGTCGCCCTCAATCTCATACTCGATCCAGACGCAAACAGAAGAGGGTGCTATAATAAAGCGGAGAAAGGAAGCGACAATTTTGTAGATCTCGGAATGATTTGGAAATGACTGCAAACTTGGAAGTCGAGTTGGAGAACGAAACAAAGAGTCGAGATATTTTTTTAATGAATACTCTTGATTACTTTAGTTTCCGAATAATCCGCGCGAAACGTAATGCCACCATTTAGGTTCAACAAGTATGTAGGAATCGAAGTTCATTTTAGTGTTGAAAACCATAAGCAAAGCTATATAGTCATCGAGAAAGGTGACATGCACTTAGGATGCTTGGCGTGTTTTTATAAATATAAGCGTTTTCTCCAAGGAAATATGCTCCGCTGATTTTCTTATGATTCTTGGAACGATGCCTCCCAGATCAGTTGTTTTTTGGAGTATTATCAGGTTTTTGTCTGACCTTCTCCATTTCCTTGACTGACAAGCAGTCTTCCTACTTTGACCGATTATGTGTACACATAGATGATGGTGTGGCGCTCCCTACGGACCAGCACGGCTATTTCCTCGTGCACTGCCGGTGAGAACTACGAGGAAAGCCCTACTCAGAAAGTGGCCACAACTGCTGCCTGGGCAGAGGAGGGAAAAAAGTGATAAGTAATAGTCGATTACTTCGAGATGCGCAGTGCGCTTGAATTTCGATGGAAATCTTGGACATCTTCGATAGTGTACCTAGCCTACTTAGTCTATGCTATGGGTACCAGTGATTCCTCAGAAGTATGTAGAGAGCATGCCGCTTCAACAGGACTCGATCTGCAGGCCCCTAGTACTGGAGTGGAGGAAAAGATGGAACCTCATCGAGGGAAAAATCAGAAACAGAGCATAGAGTTGAATTGAGACAGAATTAGGGATTCGGCAGATTCCAGTAATGTAGCCAGCTTTGTGCGGATTGAGATGACTGCAAGCTTTTATATTGTGTAGATACTGGAATAAATAAATAAATAAATAAATAATGGAGAAAGCGGAACTGCAGGAGAAAAGTCATGAGAAAATATAAAATGGATAAAAATTGGATAAAAATCATGCATTGAAGCTGTCGGCAAAATGTACTGTAACATTGTGAATAGGTCTTACCGAAAGTCGAGTTGAACTCTGCCATCGGATATGCTGATCGAGTAGAAATTGCCATTTACACCCCCGTCATCGGTGTAGAGAAGAAGGCCATGCGACTGTTTCGTTTTGAATTCAAATGAAAGCGAGTTTTCAAACGAGTGGGCCCATTTGGGATACCTGAAATGTCCATGAAAATTTGCCCTTCATCTATTAGCGTTCTCTATCGTTTTTCTTGATTATTTTAGTTTTNTTTTCTACATTCTTTTTGGACGACTTGCTACAGTATCCTATAGCTCACCTAGCGTAGGAATTCGGCGCTCCAGAGAGAATAATCGCAGCTGTGGAATGTACATCAACCAGTATCAGTATAAATGCTAGCCAGCCGCCTGTATAGTGGCAGATCATCGTCCGTACGCGGACATAAATTCTGAACAAAGGTATAAGAAATATGGTGAAAAAATCGAGAAGTTTCGATTGGACGTGAAAGTTGGCATGATAATCGCAGCAAAAAGAACGAAATAGGGGAATATGTCGTGATATGTCGTAATATGCAGGTTACTCGAATCAAAAAAAGTAAAGGCGTCTGAACGAGAACAAAACCACAGAAATAGAACAACCGGGGACTGGGCCCAAATCTCAAAGAGGCTTGTTTTGAAAAGCATTTCTATGTCTTTACCCATTCCAGAACTTAAAAAACTCTGAAATCCCACACGCTAGCAGTTGGTGGAGAATTACAGGAATCTTAGCCTGCGTCGAGCTTGGCAGTGCGTAAAATGGTTCCACCACACTACAAGAGAAAGGAAGAGAGAATCGAAAACCTCGTAATTGCTGAGCTGTATGGGAAAGGTGCCGGTCGTCCCAAGTGATATGCGACATTACGGACTGCATGACGATTAACAAACCCCAACAATTCGAAGAAGCTCTTGTTTGACTAAGTCAAGTTGCTCTAATCTTTTCAGCCCCCAAAGGAGCCGAAAAGCCGGGCGAATAAGGTTCGAACTAACGTTTTGTTAGAAGTTCAAGCCCATTTTGCCATCCCTTTTTCACCCTTCCAAAAGTTCAACATGGAGTGCACCGAAGATAAATCATCGTAATTGCCAAATCCACGACCAATGTTTACGTTTTAAAGGGTGACGGTGCCAAAAGAAACTGCCATTTATAATATTTGAAATATGCTTCGTAAAATCGGTTCCTGGCAAATGACCTACGTTGTGGAGGTCCAAAACATCTCAAAGCTTACGCTACAACTCTAACAACTGTAATTCTACTGATCGGAAGGCGGGAGGGTCTTACCAGGGAAGGGTTTCAACTTCCCATGGAACTTTGAATGGAGACCTAGGTATATTGATAGGGCTTGTAAAGTTATTAAGTAATGTGGAAATTAAAAGTGCAAAATGAGTCTACCAAAAAAGTTGTGAGCTTTCGAAATCTGCATGCTTAAGCATGGAGCCATAGTGCTAGTTGATAAGCCCAGCTGCCCGCAACGGCCACAACGGTCCCCGTGGCGTAGTGGCAGTACTCTCCCTCTTCAGGTAGGCGGTGAGGGTTTGCTTCCCGCCGTCGTTTTT